CAAGGGGGTCTGGATTGCCCTGCAGAAAAATGTAAGTCCTCCAAAAACTTAAATACTAACTCCCAAAGATCCTGACTCCTGAATAATCTGACGCTCCTTTCCAAAAATTCACTACCATAATTCGGAATTCTATACCCAGCAAAATTTTTCTGTCGAGAGCCAAATATGCACGATCCCAGCCCTAGACATCGAAGAATTCTCGACAATGACCAACAGCTCTGACCACCTCTTTTAGTACAAGTATGTATCTAGGGGTTGAGAAACGCTAAAACAGGCTTTCCGAAGAGACTGACATCCTACTTCGAACACTGGGTAGACCATGAGTGGTTTTAAGGACTTCAGCCCGGTGAAACGGTGTTTAATATCCTAGAAACAAATACATGGTTCATCCTAAAAGGGTGCTTAATGTTGAATTGGAGCAACTCCACCAAAGCCTTTCTCTGTGCTCAATCAAACCAACCGCAACATAACGAAATTCCGGTTCACCTTATTGTTACGAAAATGGTGTTGATTAAAAGTCTTTTATACTTACACACAGACAATGCGCCAAGCGTTTTGCGCCAACTCTCCATACTCCGACAAAATCGAATGCTGAGAGGGTTTTAATCAAAATGGCCTTATTCGCTTTATTAATATGTCCCAAATATCGAAAAAGGGAATGATTGACAAGGTGACAAAACACAGGCCATCCTCAGCAGATAAGCTGTTCATCTCTCACAAGACACTATTTCCAAACTGTCTGAAACTACTCTAATTTCCGTGCAACATTGATCGTTCCGTACGATGTCTACAGATTCTTTTACGATTAGCTGAAAAGTACTATTCACTCCGTGATTAAGATACCCTCCTTCAAAAAACGAGAAGAGCGTCGGGTGCAGACCATACACCACAAGTGACGACGGCCTCCAAGTAAATCTGGTTAGTAGTGGTTCATAGTGATAGCTGATTTTTGGAAATAGTTGTAATTAGTGACAACTGATAGAATACAACTGCAACAGGCTAATCATTTCATTGGCAGAAAACATTAACATTAGTGGAAAAGCGTATACACTTTGTGGAGATCCTCGTCACTTGTGATGTATGAGTCTGCACCTGAAGCTCATTCTCGTTTTTTGAAAGGGAGTATAACTGGATCCAGGACCACAGAGGTATTCGTCAATCACAAATGCATGCTAAGGCTACTGGCTGCTTTTAAAATACCAAGGCACACCTCATCGCATCTATATACATGTCCTTGTTGCTTGTGTTTAGTTGTCTGCGTCTTCCTCGTCCACTGTTCTCTTTCATCAGTGCGCAATGTCTTTCAGGTTGACGATTTTGTAAACTGACCAAGCTCTCAAAAAAGCCCTTGTTTCCATTTTTCTTCAATTTTCTTTGTACGTTTTTTTCCACTGGCTCTCTCTCTGCCTTTCTATACAATAGAGCACTCTGGTTGGTCATGTGAAGGCTGCCCGGTAGAGACTCGTTACACCTACTCATGACAGGGATAAAAGCTTAGCTGGATCTAGCACTCGCCCAACATCGTTTTCAGAATTTACCCTAGGGCAAATGATTAGCCTTCCATCTGTCTCTCCTTTTGGCGGCCAATAACCGCCAAAACACAACGGCAAGGGGAAAATCAATCGAAAAATGAACAAGGTATACGACTACCAAGTTTATTCAAATATTCGAAAAACATTGGAGTTTTTCTGAACAGTGAAAAGCAGTTGTTGCATGGCTCTTTAGACAGTATTCGCGTTTCTTATTACACACTGTTATATTATTATTTTTTATTTTTACCGTGGTGGTGTAAACGGTAGCTCAACTGCCCGAAAATAAGAGATGATGGCTCGATTCCCGTCTGCAGCGGAGTTTTGCACATGAACCTGTGAGAATCATTAGTGGTTTATCGATCGTTTTTTACTTTACGGACGATGTAGTCATTATGTCCTATTCATCTTAGATTATTTTGGAAAATTTTACTCAACCTACATCAAGGTACGGGTAGAAGTAGTGTAGCGGCAAGTGGCGCGGCCTACCACGCGCATGGTCGGAGGATCAAAATTGGGCCGTACGCAGTCCAAGCCTAACAAGCCTAAGCGGACTGGTACCACACTTGTTCTGAGAGAACGAAAACGTTGTACATCGGTTGGCCGCGCAAATCATTGTATGTTGCCGAAATTGCATCCAAAATTCCACTACAATTCTGAATGATAGTAGAATGCGTGGCGCACCTCAAAAAGTGACACTGACTTTTCTGATGTTCACCATCATGATCTTTGGCGTGACGTTGTAGCTACCCTCCCCTGTTCAGCCACTCTTTTATCTGAGGGGGTCGCGCTGTCTGGAGCCTAGAAACGCCGAGTATGGCTAGTACTATAACGCGACCCTGCTCCCCCAAATACTTAGAATGGGAACCAGCGGCGGGGGACTCGTTCCCTGCGAGTGGATAGGATAGAGGCCCGAGTGGCTGTTTATATCTTCGGGTTAATGTCTGTATGGATACTCAGGTCGCATCGCCCATGATATACATTACCGGCTATATCTATGATCTCTGTGTTCAACTCTCCTCGCTTAACGCCTCTCCAACTATCCTGACAGATGCGCGTTGGCTTATCTAATCCCTACCTTTATTTATTTGTTTATTATCGACAATTCCTGTCCAGCTAAAAATGGTGTGCTGACATAATATTTATTAATTGTAACACTTTTATTGTCAAACTATACACAATAATTACGAAAGCATCCAAAATAGGTGAGAGAACCTAGACAGTCACAGATGCAAAATTCAATAAAATTCAAGGGCTGAAAGAGTGCAATACAATTGTTTTCAACTAGTAAACAAGGCAAATCCATAAGTTTTATTCACATTTTTGTTATAACCAATAATCTGAAATTCATAGGCAGTTACTATTGGGGAAAATGTATAAGTGATCAAAAACAAAGAGAAAAGTGCATAGTAGCACGAGGATGATTTATTGGAGAAGAGGTAGACGGACCAGCTTTAACATCATCTTGAAAGGCAGTGTCTGGGATTTCTGGTCGTAATAAAGCTTTTGCCCAAGAGAAGTGCAGCGGTATTCAAGCGGAAAGCTCGTACACATCTTTTGAGAAGACCTGACAGGCCAAGGCGACAAGGCCCTAGGATGCGGCATTGGCCCCGCCCAAAACCATTGAGCCCGCCCACAAATCAGTGCTATTTCGTCTTGCTGCTAGTGTAGAAAGGGTTTTTTAGGGTCTACTAAGATGGTTTCTTCACGTTCCATTGCAGGCGTCACACATCTCATCTCTATTGTCACTTGCAAACGCAATAATAAATTGGTTCCATCCCGAACTTTGCCTTTAAGAACTGGTAGTAGGGGAAACTAGAAACTCGTAACCAAATAAGGACAGAGAACGGTTTATGTAGGGAAAACCAGTAAAGGAAACGAATTAGTAACTATATTTGTATCAGTATTTTCACTATTGTTTACTATCGGGTAAGTAAAATCGCCACAACATTACCTACAACAGAAACCAAGACATTTGAGTAAAAGGGGTGGGGCCTCAAAGTTAATGGCGCAAGGTTGGGACCTTCAAAAGCGATTAAAGTAGACTAAAAAGAAATATTGTGTAGAGTGTCTGAGCGCAAACGAAATCAAAGAGACATAATGGCGAGTTTGTGCAAATGTGTATGTGCAAATCTACAGGTAACTAAAAAGCCGTGCTTAAAGAGTTAAGTAGTGGATCCTTAGGAAAAACTCTAGTACTGACAAAAAAGAAGCAATAACGACTTCACAGTTTACCTCGGCGTTCTGCCTAACGTTTCTTTTTACGAGCACTGTTAGTTTTTGGAGTCTCCCTGCTTTTGCTTGATGCAGGAGCGGGTGATGATCTTTTAGAAGGTGTTGAAATTTTCGAGGGTGTTTGCTTCTTCGGCGACTCTCTTCTTGATGGGGATGCTGGCACTGCTGCATTTTTATCAGCAGCTCTTCCGGTTTTTGGAGTTTCTGCCACTTCTTCAGATGTTCTTGACTCCGCACCACCAGCAATTCCTATTGGTGTCGAGGATGACTTTTCCGCACTCTCCGTGCTTCTGATCGCGCTATTCAGTAATGCACGACGTCGCAGTGAGCTAGAAGCGCTCCTTCGGGCCAAGGGCGTCTTAATGTCTCCCGACGATACATGCGCTGGAGGTTGAGCTTCCGAAATGTTGGTAGGCAGTGGGCTCTTTTTGCTGCGAGACTCACTGGATGCTCCCACAAGGGTACTCACATTTGGGGAGGCTGTCCCCTTGCATGAATTTTCATCACATTTTTCATCGGAGAAGCTATTCACCAGTTCTCGTCCTGATGAAACCATCGAACAGTCTGAATTCTTCTTCGCTTTTGTGGTAGCGCCTCTGCCGCTAGGAGTATTTTCCACCGCGCTCATTACTTGGATCCTCGGTGATCGTCTATTGCTTTCAGGAGACGCTCTCGCACTGGGTGTGACCAGAAGCTTCCGCTCACTGAGTCCTTCCTTGCCTTTCAAACTTTCAGCTCTCAGAGGTTTGCGTTCATATGGCTCGAGCTGTGGAATCTTCATGGCAACGGGAGATTCATCAGGACTTCTATGGTCCATGGTCGCTACCGGTGAATCTTCTGCAGAATCGGGAGCAGTTTTCCGCCGAGAAACTTTCGGCTTCGGTCGAACGGCCGTACTTGCGGCAAGTGGACTTTCTGTAATGTCGTCCGTTCCGCTCTCGCTATCATGTTTTCGTTTTCGTGCCGAATTCAGTATCTTGTTTGGCGTTCCTGAAAAACAGTGCAATATCGATTTCATCAAGAAAAATAATAGGTAAAGCTTAGCAACCATGAGAAAAAAGTTGTTTTACTCATTTTATAGGTAAATGGCATAGAAAGAAAAGTGAGACTGCCGTTTTTGGCGGTCGACGGACTACTTGAACTCAGTCCTTCAAACCTCCTCTGCGCTCTCTCGCGGGGATGGAGTACGGTGTTGATTACGTAGATCATTGGGTACGCCACGCACTCGCTTCTTGACTACAATCGTACAGACATTTGAATTTACGAGCGTCTTGCGGGAATCCTTACGATCGTCAGACCAAGTTTTATTTTGAACCTCCCAAGCAAAAGGAATTCCACATGAACGACTATGGAGAGATGGAAGGTCAGTTCAGTCTCGACAGAAACCTTATACAGCAATGCAATCCTCATGGTATCACTGCTGTACTACCTTTTAGGGCGGTCAATGGAAATAATGAAATCTAAGTAAATTATGTTCCGAAAGGATTCAAATTTTGGGATGTTTAGTTTGACTGATAGCATTTATGAAGAAAATTAAACGTGAAGCGGCAAAGTAAAAAAAAAGAATAAAGACATCCAGCATCAATATATTTCACAAACCTGATGAAGCAGCGCTAGCATTCAACATGGAAGTCTCGACCGCACGATTCCACATCTCGACGGGATCTTCGTCCTCTCCTAAATGTTTACATCACTCATTTTATCAACTCTAAAGAAAGGTTTGAAAAAGAGCGGAAGCACTCGAGCCCCGCAGTCGTCGCCATTATTCAATCTGGAGTCGCCGCGGCCACACCCTAATCTATGAAGAAAGTCTCGGAGCCTTCTTGTACATTGCTAGACGATCAAAAACATATAATTTAACCAGAGGCAATTATCTTTTCGATTAGACGAGCTAAATCATTTTAACTGCAGTATTAAATGCAGCACTAATAATTACAGTGTACAGCGAAATAATCAATCCAAAAAATGAAGCGAATCAAATAATGATCGCATCAAAATAATGATCGCCATTCCTTGTAGTGATAAGCAAAAAATTCCAGGAAGCTTCGCGAAAGTTCGAAGAAGTGATGCCAAAGGTCGAGATGTAGAGTATAACCGAATGCCATTGGTCATTGTCATCAGATTTTTTGTCCTTATTTTCAGGATTTTTCCAAGACATTATCGAAATGCGTAACAAGAGAGAGAGAGATCAATCACTTAATTGCAACATGCGACCCAAATCGTCAGAAAATTTCTATTACCCACGTATGAGTAAGCTTGTTTATAAAGGAGATGAACCTCACCTGACTCATTTCCGACATCGTAGTGACTAACCACTCTGGACCACCTTTGCAAGGTATCTCGACCCTTTGCCGATAGTAACGACGGGTCATCTATTCTGCCACAAACGCCACCTCTTGGAGGCTGGAAGGTGCGCATACTAATGAGTAAAAATTGCGGTGCTGATGAGAAAAACTCACCTTACAAAGCGAACGATCAACTTCAGGACTTCCCCAAATCGAACTGATATACTCAAAAACCTAAAACAGCTCGGTAAAACTAAAAAAGTTGAGAGAACTGCAAAACTGTTGCCAAGAAAGTCATCCTTCACTCAGCACAAAAAACCTACAAATGCTGCCATACCTTCTCTGAAGACGACAGTTTACTTTTGGCCACTCTTGTTGTGTTCGAATACCAAATGGTGTAGAATCCGCGAAGGGGATCATCTTCGTAACTGTGGTTGAGAAGAGAGAGCTCACTGAACGACGGAGTGTCACCTTCTTGCGCTGAAATCTATAATCCTTGATAGTGACAATGGTTGATGCCTAGTGGGACTAAACAGTAATTCTTTGTCTGTGAGATTTATAGCAACTTCAGGGAGAACAACTACTTCAAAAGAAGTGGCCTGCTTCCGATGCCAAAGAAAGCATGGTTTTGTAGGGAGTATGTCTAAATCGGCGTATAAGGAGGTTTCGACCCAACATACCAGGATATTGCTCAGTCGTTGCCAGCATCGAAATATGCATGCAAGTAATGATGTAGGGGCGGTTGTGCGTCCAAAAAAATCTTTATTACAAAACTAAGTTCAGCCCATACGTGGCCCGGAATTATTCGGTAATCGCTCCGAGACCGGCATAGCCCATAACCATTCGCGACTCGCTACACGATGGCGTGAAGATACGTCGTCGATTGCCATCTAATTCCAAGCGTAGGTGGGCCGGTCATGTGGCTAGACTTACCGATGATCGCTGGACGAAGAGAGTGACTGACTGGTACCCAAGGGGAAAAACAAGGCCCAGAGGCAGACCCCCCACCAGATGGGCAGACCCTCTCGTGAAGATGTACGGCCAGTTGTGGCGCAGAAGAGCCCGAAGCAGAGCGACCTGGAAGATGTGCGACCTGCGTTTCTGGCGTGCCCGGGACGAATAGCGGTCGAGAAGTAAGAAGTAAGAAGTAAGTAAAAAGGAGAAAGCTGTTG